GAGTGGGGCCGTGGGGGAGATTTGATGCGGAAAAAGGGAAGCCAGGCGTTCACAATTTTATCTATCCCTGCAACCTTAATTTCCCCCGCTTTGGGGACTCGAACTCATGAAGTATTGAGTTGGGAGCTGAGGGACGAGACCACTACCTCATTTTTAAAAAGTCGATGTGGGGCTCGAAACAGAAGACGCCAGATCTTTTGACACTGACCACCAATGTCATAATATCACACATTCACACCCATCTATTACTGGCACTTTATGGCATTCCGTTCGACCTTGAAGCGGATTGTCCCTCCAACCCCCTAACTCGGGGTCGAATGAAACACCATAAGATGACCAAATGGACCGGGTGTTATATTACGACACCCAACAGCCAACCCCCGTGTCAAAAGAACATGGGTGAAAATACCAAGTACGAACGCTTAACAGAGTCGCATCTTTGCTAGCTTACCAACAACTAGAGGGAGATCAAAGAGGCGATAGAGGGAGACAGCAGAAGTCAACAAAGCATGATAATACTTACAGAGTTAACAAAATTTATACTCCCTCCCTTTTCACTAGTCCAAACTGTGTTGCCTTGTCGTGTCCCAAATGAAGAGAACAAAACAGACAATTGAAACCCTATATTTAGTTAAAACAGACTTTGAAGAATGGCAGGGGCAGCCTTATCCCATGGCATACTTGTGCGTCCAGCTACGAGCAATGTGCTCGTATTTTGTCTTGTCAGCCTTGTACATTTGAGCAATTTCTGGCACGAGCGGATCATCAGGATTTGGATCTGTCAGAAGAGAGCAGATTGACAACAGAACCTGAAAAAAAAGTATTGCAATTCAGAATTAGGGCTCGCAGTTTGGTTCTAGTAATACACTGTGAAGACAAACACACCACCAAATAAGAGTGGAAAATATGGAAGCAATTAGGAGAGAAAATGTGTGGGATTTTTTTAAATGCGCAACTTATTTTTACACATATTAGTTTGAAATTATTTTGAAACATTTTACATAGCAAATCAAAATTGATTTTCCTTCGTGTTGGACAAGTTAGAACGAAACATTTAAAAAGAAATCTCAATAGTTCCAAATGTTCAAACATAGGCTGCGTCAAGGAAGAACTCGTGTAACTTCCGAAGAAAAAGCAAGAGTTCAAAGAAATGAAGAATGTCAATCAATTATGGGGCAAAGTCCATAGCATTACTGCAAAATGATTTCCTAAAAAATAAATAAGTGAAATGAATATAGACAGCAGGTTTAATGAGTGAATATATACTTAAGAGATAAAGTTCAACATTAAGTCAACACAGAATGAAAAAGGGGTTAAAACCTTTGTTATGGTCAGTGCTGGACTCCACTGTTCTTTGAGAATATCTAGGCAGATACTTCCATTGCTGTTGATGTTTGGGTGAAAGACCTTCGTTCTAAAAGCAACCTGCCACAATAGAACGAGAGCATTTAATTAATTCAATTCACTTTAAAACAAGTTAAAGAACCCTGTTCCTTTACTATTTGTTATTCTTCTTTTCCCTTGGAATATTGGTCTTCATTAGTAGTAAAAAATAATAATGAATGTTTGCAGCTCACCAAATACCCATCCAAAAGTCACATGCAGTCTAAAAGAAACTAGGGAAAAAAACAAACAATTTGACAGGTACTAAACCTTTGGTGGCTTAAAAGGGTAGTCAGGCGGAAATTGGATGAACACCGAGAATACACCCCCGGAATATGGGCTATCAGATGGGCCCATGATAGTTGCTTGCCATTGAAACATATCTTGGGCAATGGGGCCTGCAACAAATGAAACATGCAGTATCTTCAGCACAGATGAAGACAATGTCAAGACAGATGTTCTTACCGGTTTCTCACAGAAGTGCAAGTATGTAAATAGTGATCAAGGGCAAGGTTCTTGTGCTAAAATTAGCTTGCAGCTCCTGCACGCACCTTGAGACCAATTTCACATTTCAAGCATTGCCTTCAACATGTTTAGATATTTATCATCTTACTTAAACCCTAATTTTAACAAAGATCTCAACAATCAGGGTTCCATAAGTCATGGAAGACACTAAGACCTACTTATACAGTTATAGCATAATGCTTACTAATAACTAGAGTATAATAGTTCCATTGTAGTGATCAGTGCTCCTGAACTTCAGTTATAGCCTATAGTAATCTATAAAATACAGGGAGGGAAACAATAAGTGAACGAGTATTGATGATATATAATATAATCTACAATTCAGGAAAACAATAGATCCAGTTCCTAACACTCGATTCAATACATCCATAACCAAAACACAGTATATCATGCTGATTGGATTTACCTAATCACTTTTATTCTCATTAGCTATGCATATATACTCCCTGTGATTTAACATCATTCAGACGCACGAGCAATGGAGTGTTACAGATCGTTGCAGGAAGCAAAACTCAATGAGAAAAAACTACGAAAAGCAAATACTAGAGACGTTAAAGCATACCGGCACTACATGATGTGGGCGGATCCCTCTGCAGATCCTTGAGCTCCTTCAAAATGCGCTTCGCAGCCATGTAGACACTCCGAATAGCTAAAAGTCTCTGGTAAAATCATTCAAATTTAACAACGATTTCTGATCATTCGATAATCCTAATTACAATCAGAAACTAGACTAGGAAATCGAGCAAATCAAACTAGAACACAGATAAACCCTAACAACCGCCCGCATGTAAAACTCTGCCTCGCGCAATCAAATCAAAACCAAAAATCGCGTTATCCGGCAGAATCCGGTCGGGAAGATGAAAGGATTAAACCACACAAAGAAGGTGAAATTAGGTCGGAAAAGAAGCACCTCTGAGACAGGAGAGGAACAACGGGAAAAGAGACGAGCCGGCGAGCTTGAGCGAAGGAATCGGCGGAATAGGATTTTGGTTTTTTAAACGTGGGATTTATTATTAGAAAGATTATTATTGGCGTGCAAGCAACGGCATGGCATCTCTTTGCATTAAGAGATAATAACAGCTTTATTAATTAAGGATTTATTCCGCGTGTGACATGTTTTAATAGAGATCTTCTTAAATTAGAGTTACATCTGTTCTAAATTATTTGTTCAATTTTGATGTTTTGCAATTTACATTGATTTTAATCATTAATTAAGTAAAATTTATACTGATGTTTTGTTCAATTTATCTCGTAAAATATTTACAATATTTTTTTATCTAATTAGTATATCATGTGCGTCTCTTTTAAAATTATAATTACAATTTGGTAGAAAAAAAATAAAAAATGCAAAAATCTTATTTCAAAACAGCAGCAATAGTTTATAAAAAAAATATCACAAGAATATTTTATTTTATCAAATAATCAATTAATACATATAAATAAATAAAAATTATCAGAAGATTAGAATAGTAATTGAGATAATATTTTTTAGAGGAAGAGAGTCCTTCCCAAATCCCAAATCCCAACTAGGGTTGTAAGGAGATATTAATCGGATCGAATGTGTCATTATCATATTCATATCCATTTATTTTTATGAGATATATATTGAATCCGGATACAGATTTTGACCGATACTAAAAATAAAAACTGTATCCGCATCCACCGGCTTTCAGTCGGATATCAGTATATCCATATCTATTTCCAATTTTTAAGTCAAATTGAACAAAACATTAATTTTAAATTAAACTAAAGTCAAAATATTATCCATTCAATTGTAATTTGTTACAGAGTAACTTTTGCTTATTTTTTGTAATTTATAATATGCTACAAAAACTTCATATGGTAAAAATATATACACAGTACACATACGCACATATTTTTATATGTATACACATTTATTTTACATATAAAAATGTTTTATACTTTGAGATGTCAATAAATTACGAACTATAAAAATAAAAAAACTAGGAAAAACTATATATCTGATGGTGTAAATATAGCGGGGTGGGTTAACCGGGTTTGACCTGGACACACTCGACCCGTAATATAAAACACACAACAAGAACACAAAGTATGACCTAGACCGGGTAAATCTCCTCAGTCCGAATTATATTTCTTACTCTATCTCAAGAGTGAACTTTAGTGAGAGAAAAATTGGATCCCCTCCTCTATCCAATATCATCATATTTATAGAGGAGGATTTGTGACCTTCCCCTGTTCATCCATGGACAAAATAAGAAGCTCGTGGGAAGGTCACTGTAGATAATGGGAACACTGTACAATCATAGAATTTAGCAACTATAGGCCAAGACATGTACTGTTCAATCAAAGACTAAAATGGATATTCTCAATCCAATCAACCCTGCAAAATGACAAACATCCCTTTCACTGTGTGCCTCGTGATGGATGAGCGGCGGGGTGTCCCCTTGACCTCTGACGTGGTTCACCATGCCTAATAGACTGAACCAATGTTAGCCAAGTAAAGTGATATGACCGGTCACCTTCTCTCAAAAGTTACCCGGTCATTCTTTGTGCTCAACCCG